AGACATTGAGCTATGTTGCATTAACTTAATGCAATTTCTGTTTTTGTTGCCTGAACAGGAGCCAGGCTCCCAGGTATTTTTAACAGTGGGTATCTGATTCAAGATTTTCTACCCATGTCATTCTTTAGTTACCTCGAAATATTTTAAATTGTCATTGATAGAGTGGTAATTTAAGATATGCCTTCTGATCACAGTCGAATATTTTGCATGCATTCTGCATTTATCTGATGATAAGTGAAACTTTGTTGAGGTAGTTAAAATACTGGTAAGAAAAAATAAACAATATTTCCTATATTACTTATTTTCTATAATTATATAGCATTAATTACATTTCTTTATACTTAGCTTTTCTGTAATAAACTACTTTGTGGCTTTGTCAAAATAAATTATATTAATATTCAAATAATCATAGTATTTATCTAAGAATGTCAAATGTTTGTTACAAAGTGACTGCTTTTCCAATACTTGTTTTATGAGAAGAAACAAGCAGACTACAATTGACTGTCACTTATTTTAGTTTGTTTGTTATGAATTTCGCGCAAAGCTACACGAGGACTATCTGCACTAACCATCCCTAATTTAGCAGTGTAAGACTAGAGGGAAGGCAGTTAGTCATCATCACCCACCGCCAACCCTTGGGCTACTCTTTTACCAAAGAATAGTGGGTTTGACCGTCACATTATAATGCCCCCACAGCTGAAAAAGGGCACATGTTTGGTGTGACGAGTATTTGAACCCGCGACCCTCAGAATGCGAGTCGAGTTCCCGAACCACCTGGCCATGCCAGGCCCACTTATTTTAGACAATAAGTTCTAAATTAAAAATCTCAAATAGAAACTGATACCTGTTTACTGCTTGGCTTGTATCTCAATAATTACAATTTTGTTGTATTATTTGATTATGTACAAGTGTGAAAAATATACCACATCCATTCTTGCATCTAAAGAAGACTCATATTGCATGTGCATTCAATCTTGATGCATAATTTATACAAAGTAAAAATAAATATGAGTATTATTGTTTATAGACCTTTTCACTTTTATTTTACTTACTTTATAAAAGTGAATTTGTAAAAATATTTCTAATGAAAGGTGTGTGCTATATCACTGGAGTTTGCCAGATTATTAGATCAGTGAAGAAACAAAACTGTATCTCTATCCATAGATTTACTGGTATTGATGTCAGAGAATCATACAACTCAATAACCAATAATTGTGGTATTTAGGTGAAAATAACAAAAGCAAAGTTGACATCCACGACAAGGAATAAATATTCTAGAGGGATAACAGCCTTCAGAGTCAAAAGTTGATATCTGCTCAAAATGATTTAAGCCTGGACAGCACATGTTAAAAATATATTCAGTGTGATAGAAAAACTTCTGTAAAACTTGTTTTGCTTATTACAGACATTTTTCTAATTGTCTATCACTTGCTCCACTCAAATAAAATAGTGATGAAAACCTCTAGTCAGAATTAAATTATTAAAACATTATTTCTTACCTAGTGGTCTGCATCTGCCTGGACACCTCTGGATCAAAACCAATTTTGAAGATAGGTTCAGTTTCAGACTGCAGCTTCTGAAGTTGGTTCACAACTTGGCTTCTTTTGTCATGAAGTTCTGCCAAAAAAAAATCATTGAGTGAGGTAATCTACATACTACTTGAGGCAGCTAATAACATATAAGATCAAAATAATACATATATCTTAATAACACGACCTAATGGTATAAATTAAACTACATTATTCTTAGAACCCATGAATGAAAGTGCAGAAGCATATGTCATAATATGTCAACCACATTACAACTGCTATATCCAGTACCAATGAGGCCTTTCACTCAATGCCATGGCACATCAGGCCAGCTGGGATACAACAGACATAGTAGTGTTCTAGGCACCATATACATATCATCAATTTTCATGAACAAGAACTTTCCTTTTGAAATCCTAACAAAACTTTTACTGTACAAATAAATACCTCTTCTAATATTATAGCATCATTTTCTCTTATGAGAGACAGTTGAACAGATTAAACTAAATGAACAGATCAACCAAGAAGAAACCTTGTTGTACAATAATAGAGGTAGATAGTTTATTTCACATAGTCTCTCAGTGTGTAAAAAATACATTACACCAATCACATGTTAAAAATTTTGATGTAACTTTTTATCTTATCTTGTTAGCAGTCAAGTAACAAAATATTTTTATCTCTTATTTTTTTTTAAGAAATATGTTTAAGCAACTAATGAAATAGATTATACTCTACCCTGGGGAATGTCTTGATCGGGATATAGGTTCCGATGTACATCCATAGCAAAATCAACCATATTGGTGTTATTAAGCAGGTCCAATTTGCCACATAGAAGTTCATCTTCATTGTAAATCTAAAATGAACATTAAATAATTGTCACAATATTTTTATCTCTTGGCATAGTTAACACAAAAAAAAGAGTTTTAGGTGACATACTTTTTGAATTGCTAAGAGCTTAAATAAATAAATATGTATATCTATTTAAATTAAATTTCACATTTGGTACAAATGTTCACTACACGATGGTGCAACTGATGCAACAGTAATGCCAACACAACTGCTGTCAATTACTTACACACACATGTATATATCTAATCAATAGTAGTTACAGTTCCTAGAACTTGAGAATATGACAACAAAATAGGAATTAAACAGGGAATCTAAAAACACTTTTTATTAGATAAGCCCATATCACAAGCCATTACATACTGTTGAGTAGAGCTGGGGGATTATTAACAGTTGCTAATTGATTAATTATCAAGCTCATTAATTGAGGACACTCAACTAATTGATTATTCCCATGTGAATCTCCAATAGTTGGAATAATTGAATTTTGATTATTTCCCATTAGTAGGGACACTGATTAAGCTGAAGAACCTGGATTAATTGATAATAATACTGTGAAATTGTATAGGCAATATTTTAATTGCTTGGATAGTTAAAATAATAAAAAAACAGTAATAATCACTAATATCAATTAGTTGAAACCCATTTTGTAGTGTTATAAGTTTATTTTTTTGACAATCTCAAAAGAAGAATCAATTGGTTGAATAAAATTGACTAATGATCCTAAAAAATGAATCAATTAGAAAATTCTACAAACTGTCCAGTTCTATAATCAAGAAGTACCAGAGATAATTACTACAGGCTCGATCTGTTTTAAACACTAAACCAATGGATTACATAAGTGATTATGGAATCAGGTTAGCATATTCATGATACATTTTACACCACTCTCATGTTTGGCAAGTTTCATAAAATGGAAAGTTGCACATCACTATGTGCATTATGACTTTGCTCTTGAAATCATCATGTTTAGTTTATCATTATACACATAAGTGACAGATACAGTTAATAAAGTTGTCCAATGGTTAAATTTTATAGATTTTGTTAGAACATCACAATCTACAATTTTATAGATACATCATAATCTAAACTGGAAATATTGGAATTGACTTGAATCATGTAGATATTAATCTCTTGCAGACAAATGGAAAAACTGAGAGATTAAAAAAAATATATATATATAAATCACCTGAGTTAGACAAGGTTATCCCTAGTGTTTTAAAGGAGGCTAAAGATCAGATACTCGAGCATTTCACTCTGCCATTTTTTTGTAGGTCAATAGATGGTTGGCACATGACTCATGATTCCAGAATTGCTTTATGTTATTCCTATTTTCACTTAAGTTTTATGCAATTTGGTTAAGTGTATCCATCATGAAAAGGAAAGAAATTTGAGTATTTTAATGATACTCACTTTGATCTGAAAAAGGTTAAACTTTTGAGTATTTCTAGCTGTACTGAGATTGTTGAGGTATTACAAGATAGATTGGATCAATAATAAATTGGACAACTATTTGGCAAATGACCCTTAATTATAGTAAAGTGCAAGGTAATGCATTTGGGTTATCATAATCTAGATCACATATTTAACATAGATGGGAACCCACTTGACAGTATGACTGAAGTAAAAGATCTTAACACAATTGCATAACATAATGTTTTGGAACAACATGGGACCTATTGGTCCATCTCAGCTGTCTCATCCTCTAAACTAAAGCTATTATAAAAAAAGAAATAAAGAATATTAAAGCCATCTTGTATCATTCATTTACTTATCAAGCTTTCTATTAAACCCACTTAAATTTACTACTTCCATAACATTCAAAGGCAATCCATTACAAAAGCCAACCACCCTGTTAGAAGAATAATAAAACTGTCTTAGCTGAAGATGACTCTTACCCTGCCAAACTTTATATTTGTGTTTCTTAGTCGTATTATTCTCACTGTTAAGAATGAAAAATGATGATGCATCAACACTATCAATTCCCTTTACAAT